CAACAAAGAGCAGATTGACAAAGAGAGTTTATGAAAATAGAAAGCTCACAGTTAAAACAAAAACGCTTGTCTGTCAGGCTTGTGTATGGCAGTGAAACTTGGTCAACCTATTTGCACTAGGAGAGAGACGGCTAAATAGCTTTCACATGCGATGCTTAAGAAGAATTCTTGGCATTAAGTGGCAGGACAAAATCACAAACACTGAGGTATTGGAAAGAGCAGGTACTACAACAGACTTTTCCATGCTCAGTCTACGAGGGCTCAGATGGCTGGGTCACGCATGGAGAATGGAGGATGGCAGAGTCCCTAAGGACAGGAAGAAGATGTCGAGGCCGACCTCTACTACAGTATAAAGATGTGTGCAAGTTGGATATGAATGATACAGGTATTGAGGTGGACTTATGGGAACAATATGTCATGGACCGTATTGTATGGAAAGGGCATATCAGGAAGTGAATAAGAGTGGAGAAAGAAATTATTGCAGAAAGGATGAGAGCTGAGCGTCTGAATAGAAACGGACTAATTACAAATGTTGGCAACAATGGTCCTGAAATTAGAAGACTTTCTTAACACGGGTGGGTCTTGCTAGTCACACTCGCCATCGCCATGGGCTGTGAGTCTCATGCCTCCTCATAGAGTTAACACTATCGTCTGGAAAGACGGAAAGGTGCCAATAGATCCCATTATTATTATTATTTTTATTATTATTATTATTATTATTATTATTATTATTATTATTATTATTATTATTATTATTATTATTATTATTATTATTATTATTATTATCGTTACTTTATTATTATTATTACTTTATTATTATTATTATTATTATATTTTTATTATTTTTTTTATTATTATCATTATTATTGTGCCCCTCCTCGTCCCCTCATTTCCACCTCCTCCATTTCCTGCCTCGTGAAGACTAAACATGACTAAACCACCAACTCGCCTCTAACAATAACTAAGTAACAAATAACTGGTAACGCACGAGTCAATGGTAACGATATTCATCATAGAAAACCTGAAATTCTACAAATTCCACATTTAATTTAAAAAAATTTTTTTTTTAAAAAAACTCTCTTTGCAAGCTTTAGATGTTTTGCAATCAAATAATTTGTGGAGCTCACCGAAGCATCATTCTCGTGCCGCATGGCTGATAACAAGCTTCCCTGATCACTGGGGCGGTGAAAGGACATGAGAAATGACTTTATGAAAACCACAGTGTACTTTATTTCACAAGACCAACTCCCAGATTGCCAGTTGAGCATTTTAGCAGGTTTTTGTGTGCGCACCAGGAGGAAATAGTAAAGTCAAATTAAAATGCGGAAGGATAAAGATCACTTGTAGGAGCACTTCAGCTGCTATTAGAAATAAAGTTAAGTATCGATCTGTTAAACTCAAAAGGAAGCAACTAAAAGCATAAGATACAACCGGTGGCAGAAGGATTATTACATATTGTCGTAGTATGATTAAAAAATGAAAATGAATAAAGCGCTGGAACGTTTGCCTTCTTTGATTCGAGATATTATCTTTTCTTCTTCTTCTTTGCGTTCGGTTTCGTATGGTCAGATCAGACCAACAGGCGGGTTGCTTCTATGAACTCGCATGTAAGATATTTTCTCAACAGACATGCATCTGTCTGTGAGCTATTGTAGTCAGACCCGTTGTAGCAAGTTCTACTTGCGTTTTGTGTTACATTTAATGGTATGCTGATGAAGGCTTTGGCCAAAAATTTCGCCCGCATTATATTATAAGAGAAAAGTTTTGGAGGAAAACTGTTTGTTACGAACGAGTTGAAATTGTTAATAACCGTTATAAAATATTATTTTCAAAGTAGCATGACTTGTTTGCATGGCAGCTAGCAATCTTACTGTCAAAGCAATGATCTATGTTAACTCTTGCTGTCAAAGCAATGATCTATGTTAGGCTGTCTTGCACTAAAGATTTTCCTTTGGCTTTCGCTACGAACCCCCAGGCACTTCTCTTTCCTCTCAACACCGAGCCATCTGTATATGGCAAGTCTAGTATCCTTCCCTAACGCGCTCCTTCACCAGAAGCTGTTGAAACTAGGGCTGTACCGAAAATTCGCTTTGTATATAGTGGACCTAATAACTATTCGGTATTCGGCCGAATACTTGCGGTCGAGCCGAATACCGAAGTGGTTACCTTACACCCGTTTCTGCATGCACTGCGATGGAATCTCTCATTAACACAATAGTTGCTATTGCCTAAGTCTGTCGTAGCGGGGGGAACTGCGACCCGGTTGCGTGGTACAGCAGCTGGCAAGGTCTTTGCCTGCTGACTCGACCGAGGCATTACAGCAAAGGTTATCAAACTGGGTGCGTATGCTAGGGGTGCCGCGGCGAAAATAAGAAAAGTCGACTACAAATTGTGACATTATTGAAGAAGGCATGAAGATACTTAGAAGTTAAAATTTAAATTGTCTTTCCTCGCCACTGTTGGCAAGAGTTTTTTTTTCCCCCTTGTTTCACACTCAAAGTTTATAATACTGCACAAAATGCCAACCTCAGTGTGCTAAAAATTGTCTTTGTATTTATCTCGAGGTGCGACTGATCCTCCATCTGTGTTCGTGAAGGTGCAGCGGATAAGTAAGGTTGTGATTACATTCTAGCTGAAATTTTAAAGTGGAAAAGTGGTCTGTACAATAGTAACTGTTAGCCTCGTCAGGTAAGCACTTATATTTAAAGGCAATGCGTTGTGAGTCATGGACAGTCGATAGGCAGGCCAAGCAATTTCTTGAGGCCTCAGAGATGTGGTTTTACAGTTTACAGAACAATGCTTAAAATACCCCGGACAGTTAAAAAAAAAAAAAAAAAGCAACCAAGAGGTTTTGAAAGAGGCGAGAGCCCGAAGACAACTAATTACAGACATCAGAAGGAGACAGTCATCATTTTTCGGCCATGTTATGAGAAGAGGGAGAATGGAACAAGTGGTGACCACTGGAAAGATCTGTGGGAGGACGAATAGAGGAAGACAACGAGAGAAGATTCTTGACAGTTTTGTTGCATGGCTTGGAGGTGTGTCTGCACACGAACTAATACATGCTGCCGGAGATTGTAGACTGTGGCGAGGCATCTTCGCCCACACCAGTCGGCAAGGCACCTGATGATGATGATGATACACTATTCGTATTCGTATCCGGCCATATAGTTGGTCTCGCCATTCGTATTCGGCCGAATAGTAAAGATCACTATTCGGTACAGCCCTAGTTAAAACAACCTCGGATGTCAGACCAACATAAATTCACATTCCAAAGTCGGGGAGACGAATCCGATACTTTCACCTACTTGTTCAAGGGCAGTAAATAGGTGGTAGAATCAGAAACTTTGACACTAATTAGTTTGCAGTTAAGAAAATATAATGTCACTGATTACTGATTTAGGATTCGACTTCGTAACACACCAAAGAATATACAAATAGGTGCTCCGTCTCCCACAGCAAATGTTTAACTCTTTGAGTCCCAGAGGGTTTAGCATCACAGGCCCAAGGGGTAGTCTAGAGGGACGAAAAAATAGGCGCATCATGCGTTCATTGGGACTTCTAGTCAGTAACCTATGAACATATGATGCGTTCCTTAGGACTTGCGTTGGTTTCGACAGTAGTACTGAGAGCTGACCGTTCAGGAGAAATGGCAAACTACTGAACATAAAATTTGCCTAGAAAAACCACAACAGCCAAACAATGCTAGAGTTGGTTCTGCAACGTCCTTTAAAGGATACCCAACTAACAAAATATATGCTAACAATTCCCATAGCACACTGATTATATACACGTGGTTGTCTTCATGTACTTCCACTCTGAAGGAAGCTCTCAATTAGTCGACTCTTACGACATGCTTTTGGGCAGGCAGTGGGTCTATTCTTGTTTTCCCTACAATGGGGCCCCGGAACCCACACGGGGAATGCTTCAGCTGTGAAGACATACATGCGATATTACTGTTGGTCATATCCAAAGTCACATATCGCAACAAATTTGGGCCGTGTCACTGACAATAAATTATCACAAGTATCCAAGGCCAGATGTAAACATGAAGAGGATCGAAACTGTATGAAACCCTGAAATCCCTACTGTTTTATATTATACTGTTTTAAATTAAACCAGCTAATCTCAGAAAACTTTAAAATATATACGCTTTTTCAATATTCGGGTGATTGAAATATATTATCTTTTAATAAAAGGAAAATCAAGAATGTGTCAGCAAAATAACATAAATGATAACTGTGACACCGATATTTGGAAGTGAACAACTACGGACCTTCTATGGACGCAGATAGTTAACAATGGACTGTTGAACTTTGCAAGAGGCCAAACACGGCAGGCTACAGAGAGGACACGTCTAAGAGAAAGCTAGCCTCAGTATACTCGAGTGTCAACGCTTTTTTTTTAAATAGACTACGTGGCAGACACGCACAATTCTGTGTAGGACTCTACAGTCAAAGTAGACGCTGTTTCTAAACCAGCTCCATGGTCCTTGGGGGCTAAGGGTTGCCTACAACAAACATAATATAAATAGTAATAATAAACAATCAGCATCATCAGGTGCCTTGCCGACTGGCGTGGGTGATCATGCCTCTCCATAATCTGCGATCTCCTGCAGCATGTATCAGTTTGTGTGCCCCCACACCTCCATGCCATGCAACAAGACTGTCAATCATCTTCTCTCGTTGTCTTCCTCTATCCCTTCTTCCACAGATTTTTCCAGTGGTCACAACATGTTCTATTTGCCCTCTTCTCATAATGTGGCCGAAAAATGATAACTGTCTCCTTCTGATGTCTGTGAAAAGTTGTCTTCGGGCTCCCACCTCTTTCAAAACCTCTTGGTTGCTCTTTTTGGCTGTCCAAGGTATTCTCAGCATTGTTCTGTAAAACCACATATCTGAGGCCAATAAACAATAACAATGACAATAAAGAACTGCATAGCAAAAGATACAGTAAAAAATCTCAAATACTAGGATATGTGTTAACAAACAAACAGTCAATCAGGCGATTTTGGTAAAGTACGGAAGCTCATCGAGCTCGGCGATATAGTTCTTCAACCATGTGCCACCAGACCTAACTATGTCCCTTAGCTCGTCATGCCACTGACCTGGGGGCAAGTAGATGTCCCTTGACCTTGCCCCTTTCTCCAGAACTGGAGCCACAAGCAGGTCATCTCCAAGAAGGAACTCCGAGTCCAGAGTCAGAGCGTTGACGTCTGTTGGCGCGATCCACCACAGGGGTCGAACAATGGGCTCTCCTGTCTGCTGGGCGTTCTTGGCCAGATCGATAATTTTGTCTGCATATTGCTCATGGAGGTTGATAAACTTGCGGGTGATCTCAATTATTGTGTCATTTTTGTACACCCAGGGAGCAACAGAAAACTGTAGAACTGGCAGAAACACGGACGCTTGCAGCCAACGGATAAAGAGTTCCGCCTCTGGAACTGGTGTTGAATAAGCGTTCCCGCCAATGAGATCTGGGAGGATATAAGGGTAGCCCATAAGCCCAAAGATAAGCGAGCAGGGTATCAGGGTCTGGATGCCTAATTCGTGACTCCAGTTGCTATCTCTGTCTAGCATACGAACCATGTGAGAATATGCTTGACTCCTGAAACCCACTCGAACCTCCTGTCTACCTGGAATAGGATCAGCTAGGTAAGTTGCTTCTACATATTTCTTAGAAAAGTAGTTTGGAGTCAACAGTGTTTCTTTCGTCGTGTATCGCTGGGCATCGATCCAGTTCACTTCCCCAGCATCAAACTTGAAGGATGTGACGTTGTATACAGTTTTCAAATTGGCAACTTTGTTGAGATACCAGGCCACTGCATCTGTGTTAGTGAAATCTAGAACGCCAGCGTAGCTCCCGTCCCACCATGGCACCAGCAGCGGCTGTTCGCTGGAGTACTGCTTCAAGAGAAATCCAGAATTACTTAGTTCCACAAAGGCGTCAGAGTCATTATTGAAGAACCAGTGGACCCAGACAGTTGTAGCGATGCCAAGACTGGTCAGGCTGGCAATCATTTCTTTAGCTTCTGGAAATGTGTTTGTATTAAATATAAAGTCTCCGTAATGTGGTGTCCAGTTGTCATCCACTTCTAGTTGAGAAATGCTAAAGTTATAAAGTTTTATGTCATTTGCAAACTGCATGACAGTAGACTGGTTGATACTGGCATGGTAGTTTGCCCATGTCGACCAAATTGGATGACGTAGGACGTCGGGAGAGGGATAACTTTGCGGTTTAGGAAGGTAGGCCTCTGACATGCCCTTCCATAACGCGGTTATGTCACTGGATCTACAAATATCGTAAATCAGGAAAGGCTGATTCACCTGAAAAAATGGGGTGTCAGGACCCACCTTTCCCTTGAGACAGATGAGATTAGATCCAGCATCGTTGATGCGCAGATAAAGGGGAGTGGTCTCGTGTACGAATATACCCACTCCCGATGAAGATATAAAGATACCTTCTATGACTCCTCCATATCCAACATGGTGATAAGAATCACCAGTAACAAACGGCAACGATCCAATCTGCAAATAGTTCATTGGCCAAGTCTGGTTAGCTTCTTCAAATCCGCCAAACCAGAAGTTCCCATCCATCGTGTAGCAATCTTCAGGAGTGTCCGTCACGTCAACTCCCTGAGGAATTGTCCAGTTGACCGTTGTACACTGAATTCCTGAATTATTTTTGGACACGGGTAAGTTGCTGTTGTACATCTCCAGCCTTGGCCCATTTTCCCAAACCAAGCACAGACTGTTTCCTGTGCCTCCTTGATTGCTCTGACAGAGTTGTTGCCCTGTTGTGTCTCGATCATGGGCAATAACTCCATTCTGAACTGTGCCCATTTTGTTCTGTATCTTTAAATTAATCCGGCCTTTGCTTATCTCCACCTCGACACCTCCTGTTACGGTAAAGGTGCCGTTCTGATTGCTGATGACATTTGCCTTTTCTGTTGCCAAATTCTCACATCCAGTGACCTGTCCAGAAACTCCAACGATAGCCAGGAGAAGAAGAGCTATTCTGTGTTCTGTATCCATTGATGTTTGTTGAACAATTTGCCTGAAATCAAAGATAGTTTTTAAAAATGTTTGTGCTAAATTAGTCCGCCGTAAAGATAAATATTGTTTGTGTGTATACAGACGAAAAGTCAGAAAAATGTGAAACCACTAGCGGTGTTAGACAGGGTGATATTCTTTACCTCTTCATTTTTATGATGGATGATGTCATTAAGACCTGTAAGGAGAAGACAAATAAGTACTCTGTTGGGTACTGGAAGATGGGACCAATCTGTATACCAGAGCTGGCATTTGCAGACGATGTGGCCCTGATAGCTAAATCAGAGGCCCACTTTCAGTCCGTCTTACTGATTTGGAAGGAAGAGTTTGAGAAGAGAGGGGTGACCATCAGTATCTCCAAAACTAAAACCATGGTGATCTCAAGAGAGGAGAAGAAACACCAGATCATGATGGGACAGTATGCAGGCCAACCAGTTCAAATAACTTGAAGTTGAATTAGACCGAAATGAAGGCATTAACACTGAGCTTGCTACACACACAAAAGCAGCTGCTGGGAGACTCTTGCAGGCCTTAAACCGAGGGTTTCTTAGCTAACGAGAAATTGACAAGAGGACGAAAATGGATGTGTACTGCTCTACCAATATACCCGTCCTGACCTATGGGTGTGAGTCACGGACAATGACTACAGCTCACAAAAGCCAGCTTCAGATCTCAGAAATGAGATATCTGAGAAAGGTGGTCCAAGTGACAAGAAGGGACTTAGTCCGCAAAAAGATAAAATGTCCAAGATCCTAATATCCAGTCCCTACAAACCCACAGTTATGATGGTCTGGACATGTATGCAGAATGGGAGAAAATCAGCCAGCATGGCAGGCATGGGAGGTTATGAACCAGTGAACCAGACCACCAGGATGACCCAGGATGCGCTGGGAAGACAACATCCGACAATCCCTAACTGACAGAGGACTGAAATGGAACAAAGCCAGAAAGAAAACTGCTAATAGAGATGTCTGGCGAGCTCTCTGGCAAATCTCTACACAGCAAAGTAAAAGAGGAACGACTAAGTAAGTGAAGTAAGTGTGTGGTATTTATGTGTGGTTGTGCGTGTGCGTGTATGTGTGTGTGTGTGTGTGTGTTGGCAGATTTGTCCCTTAATGGCCACGACAAATCAAAGTAGTGTGTGTGTGTGTGTGTGTGTGTGTGTGTGCGCGCGTATCATTTAAATGTTTTAAAAAAATAAAAAAATTTGTTTTTATTAAAATCAACGTCAGGTAGCACGTATTTTGCCAAACATCACAATCATCTACCTCTTCTTCGTTCAGGTGTTGTAGGCTCTGGCGGAAAGTACTGGTTGTTCGTCCTTTTCGACTTGTTGTGTGCCAGGGCCTAAGTTTTGCGTGTAGACCCGTTTTACTGGCTTATTTGTGTGCAGTTGGTTATTACTTGCTACTCGGACAGATGCACTCCGACTTTGAGTGAAGTCTCAAGTGAGTCGACACCTACGACATGCTTGTCGAGAAGGCGGTTGGTCTCTTCTTGTGTCTACCACAATAGGGCACCGGAACCCAGACGAGGAACATCACAATCAACCCGGTCCCTTCCAAAATCTCCTGTCCCGTGTATTTCATGTCCAAGACGTCTCCGGTATCTTATGGTTACTGTTGTGATCCTCAACCTCTGCCTTAACTCTTTCAGTCCCAAACAAAGCGTAGTGTGTGATGTGATCCTCCTAGTTAGGCCAAACCAACCATCCAATAATGTGTTCTCTTAAATTTCAATTTTGATCAGAGAATAAAACAGAAATCTGGCTACCCGAGCGGCCAAATACTCTGGCTTTAGCTTTATGTTAGCGTTCAAGATTGTGCGCCCACTTGGGCATTGGCTGTCATATCTCCTGGTACTGAAAGAGTTAACACTTCCTTCCATTTTTGTTAATTGGGAAAGGCCGCAACATTCGAGGTTACCAAGAAGCTGCAGCTCAGAGATGCCGGTTGCGCGCGCTATTTGACTTCCGTGTTTATACACACTGTATATATGGTATAATATAAAGTCACTAACGTGGCATTGCAGCGCCCGTGGCTAAGGCGTTGCGAGTCCGACTCGTGAGCCAGCATACCGCGATCGAAACCCACTGCAAGCTGCGTGGATTTTTGTCGTGGTATGGGACGTCGCAGGTCGACCCAGCCTAAAATGGGTACCAGGATGGGCTGTCCTGGGAAAGTAAAGACAGCCGGCGTAATGCTGACCACAGAGTGCTGATGGTCTGTAAAAATATGGGACGCTATGCCCATATGCCCGATGCGCCGAAAGGCGTGAAAAGGGATCTTTACTTTTTTTAATGTGGCATTGAAAGCACATGATGCTGGAGAGGTGGCTAGGGAAAGGAATACTTTCAGGCGTGCCGTGAAGAGAGCGACGTTCTGTAAAGTACTTGCTGATTGATGAATGTAGAGCTTTGTGAAAGAATAAGCAAATTTGAAAGCATTAGGATGTTGAGAAAAGACGCTGAAGCTGGATAAGACACACAATGATGAACCATGAGAACAATGTACCGCAACTAGAGTGTTATACACTGGAGCCAGTTGAGGTATAGAAATAAAGGTATCTGAAAAAAGATGAAGAGGGCATGATGTGAACTGTATGCGATAGCAAAGAATAAAGCAGTTGAGGACCTATGCCCCGTTACGCTCGCCGCAAATCGGAAGGTCGCGGGTTCGCTACCTGGCGGAGCCGGACTTTGTTCAAAAATGACCTTGGTCGACCCAGCTTAGAGTGGGTACCGGATGCAGTCCCGGAAAGTAAAGGCGGCCGGCGTGATGCTGACCACATCACCCATCTTGTGCCGATTGGTCTATAAAAAATAGGTCTAGCCCTATATGCCCTATACGCCTAAAGGCGCGGAAAAGGGTCCTTTACTTTTTTTTTTACTATGCTCCGTTAGGGATAAAACTTAGACGAGGAAGATGGCATTTACACACACAAAATAAGCTTTCAAAAGAAAAATATCTTCTGTGTTTAAAATACGTTTATAATTATGGTTTTTAAAAAGCCTGCGCTTCAGGACAGACCATAGGGAAAAAAAGATTTTGGCCATTTGAAGGTTACAGGTTCGATTCCCGGCACGGTAACTGTAGCTTCTGATTTTTGTGTTGTCTAGTGTGTCTTTCTATCTTTCTACTTCTTTCTTTGAGTGCTGATTAATACATTATCTGTTTATTATATATCGAAAATAAGAGGCGTGCTCATGTCTTAATTAGGAACCATTGTCGTATACTGTCCTTTTGTTTCCTTCATCGATTCACATTCTCACTAATCAACGACAAGTGAACGTTTCGGCTAAAATGCCTTCACCAGCACATGACATGAATATTCAATGCTTCATTTACAAAGAGAATACGTGAAATCCTTTAAATGAATGAATGAATCAAGAATTGACATCACTGCACTTGTAACTTTCCATACGTGCTCCATCCCCTTCTTCAGTAGTCAACGTAAAGTCGCCATGCTAATTGCACCAGTATATCTTAGTCCGGTTCTGTTTCCCCTTCAATGTTGAATATCTCACTTAACCTGTTTACACCCCCAATTGAATTAGTCTTTCAATGTATGAATTCTCTAGCTGTTCATTGTATTGTCCATGTGATACCATGGCGCCTTCACCGCATGTGCTTTATCATATAGTAGCTCCCCACCCAGAGGAACGGGAGAAGCTAATCTATCAATCTGCGCATTATCTAGCATACCTAAATATCCTGGACAGAAAATCCACACTATGCTACTGATCTTAATCTTGTTAATGATGTAAGCTACTCTACATGCAGACGCCAGTTTCTATTGTCGGAAGCATGCTCTGTGAGTCTGTTATCTTCTTCTTCTTCTTCTTCTTCTTCTTCTTCTTCTTCTTCTTCTTCTTCTTCTTCTTCTTCTTCTTCTTCTTCTTCTCTTCTTCTTCTTCTTCTTTGCGTTCGGTTTCGTATGCTCAGATCACACCATAAGATGGGTTGCCTCTATGGACTCGCTTGTCAGCAGCAGGTCCTTCATAATTCCCCATAGCTTGCTCTGCACACTTTGCTCTTGAGGCCAGGTTTCTTTTCGAATGTGTAGGTAGAGTGGGCAGGTCTGCAGAGTGTGTTCAGGAGTTGGTGGTCCTGTCTGACAGGCACACTGTGGGAAATGTGCAATCTTTATTTTATGCATGTGGTAGTTGAGCCTGCAGTGTCCTGTTCGTAGACGGAACATTGTTGTATGTTGCTTTCTGTTAAGTCTGCTGATGGGGTCTTGTGGATGTTTACTGTTAGTTGAGTCCGTTATAATTACGACATGTCAGGCTGTGCTGCTCTCAACCTATCAGAAAGCTGCCGTTACCACCTCAACCTCCATTCTCATGCTGTATGTGGTGACGTTGTAAGCGAGGCTCTCTGTTTTCAAACAACGTCCATTCACCTATGCAATAAAACACCACGCACTCACTCTTTACCATGACTATCTATTGCTACCACAAGTCTCAATATGACTCCTGTTAAAAAGGTCAGTTTCATCTCACAGCCAAGTTAATCAACGTCTGCACATTATTAATACATTCTAAATGCTAATATACTGCAGAATCAGCTTAAAAAAAAAAAATTACACATTGTGGTTGGAACCGGCGCCATTCTTTTCTAGAAAAATGCCCTGATTGTAGTAATAGCCGTTAAAGGGAACGCGAGGGGGGGGGGGGGGGGGGGGGCGGCTGCTAAACGCTTGCCTGGCCAGACGGTTTGAGCACGAATTCACACCGGAGAAATTCTTTACAATTAACAGTGGCTTCCATGTTGTCTCAGTCGATAAAGGGTTCGAGTAATTATCCGAAGAAGTAAACACGACCCGGGTGATATTTAGGATATCATCCAACGTGTAACGACAGATCCATACGGGTCTCAATTCATATACCCGATGTAGCAATGGTGTGAAAACGTTCCTTCACTCCACTCCATATGGTGTCTTAGAGATAAAAACGACGAGGAGGAATAATGATAATGATG